AACTGACTTAGGAAGAAACAAAAGTGAGTGAAGGACATTGTCTTAGGAATCCAAGGTTGATTCAGAATTTGGGGGCAGGCTGTGGCAGGGCCCTGGGACCCTGGGGCCAGCATTAAATTTGGACAGGGTTTGCACAGCAGCTGTGCTCTCTCTTTAAAAGCAGTTTCTACCACTGATGAGACAAATGACCACCATCTCCCAGAATCCAGCTCCTACAGCAGACTTTCAGGGTGGGTTTCTTGGCTCTGCTGTCCCCAGGACAGGACTCTGGGGAGCCTGCATCACATTGGTGCTCACTAGTGCATCAGTGATGGCCACAGGGACAGGCACTCGCAACAGAAGGTGGCTGTGGGGAGCTCTGCCAGAGGGAGAAATGTGCAGCAGTCAGGAAGGGCCCCGGCCATACAACGGACACGGCCCACCACAAGCACCAACTGACAGAGCTGGCAGTGCGAGACCACAGAGGAGTGTTTGCGATACTGTCATCAGGACTAAGAAGATATCCAGAAGGAGCTCACCTCCTGCATGAGACTAACACCCAATTAAAACCACAACTCGTTAAGTATTCCTGGTGCAGAGCACCATTTTAGCCCCTAGAGCCCAGACATAATAAATATCAGTTTTTTGTCCCTTAAGAGCTTACAGTTGCACTATTTACAGCGGAATCAGGAAAAGAATAAAAACTATTTATAAATCCCAAAGAACACCAATCACAGGATGCCAAGTAAGAGTGCTTAGGTTGAGAAACTCTGGCCAAAGAAATGGAATTGAAAAGAAAATTTTTCCTACTTCAGATATACCTGAACATGAATAAAACCACCTATGGCTTTATTCCTATCCGTTTGTATGGTAAAGCAAGGGAAACTTGTTTAACTTTCCTTTTTAAATCCTTCCCCATCCCCTTTTTTTAATCAGCAAAAGGGCCAACCAATTAAAGCCAGCTCTCTGACCTGAGGACGCCACCTGGTGGCCCCTCTGCCATTAAGCAAAGTTGATTGGGAGTTCCTTTGGTTTGGTGTGGGTCTGGTGTTTTGTTTTGGTTCATTTCACTAAAATGAGGTTGCTTTCTGTAGTCCAGGCTGGCTTTGAACTTCTCATACAGATCTGACTAATGAAAATATTTTGTTTGTTTGCTTTGTTTGATTGATTTTTGAGACACTTGAACTCACTTTGTAGGGCAAGGAAGGCCTCAAACTCACAGCGATCCTCCTGCCTCGGCCTCAGAAGTGCTGGGATTACAGCCATGCCCCACCATGCCCAGCTTGTTTTACTGAGACAAGGTCTCACTCTGTAGTTCACGTTGGTCTTGAACTCAGTATGTAGTCCAGGCTGGTTCTGAACTGGCAGGCCTCAGCTTCTTTTTTTTTTTTGGTACTGAGGATCGAACTCGGATCCTCTGCTTTCGAGGCAGGCGCCAGAACCACTGAGCTAAATCCTCGGCCCTAGGCCTCAGCTTCTTGAATGCTGAGATTACAGGTATGCAGCACCATGCCTGGCCTTTTGTCACCACATCCAAACTAAAACATTTAACTTTTTTTTTTCTTGCAGTATTGGGGATTGAGCATACAACACCAGTGTTCCACTACTGAACTACACCCCAGCCTTTGTTTTGTTTTGTTTATCCTTTTTTATTTTGAAACAGTCACAAAGCAGTTATAGAAAAGTTGTGCATATAGCACAAAAATATTTTCCTGCAACATCTGAGAGTAAATTTCTGAAATGACACCTTATGATCCCTACTTGAGTGGGTATTTCTTATGAATAAGAACATTCCCTATACAGCAATTAGAAGCAGGCAATTAGCTTTGATGTTTCTACCATCTAACCTTTGACTGGGTTCTAACTTTGTCCATTAGCAAAATGATACAGTTTAGAGTCAGGCTTTGTACTTAGCCACCATGTCTCTTTACATCAGGAAGCATTCCTGTCTTTCTTGGAATCTCATAACCATGAACTTTTTAAAGACTACAGGCCAGTTATCTGTAAGATACCTCTCGGTGTGAATTTGTCTGAGGCTTCCTTGTTTCTCTTCATGGCATATCCAGTACCTTTGACAGGGATCTTACAGGAGAGACTGTTCTCTCATTCCAGCAGGTGGGACATGATTTTGATTTGTTCCACTACTGGTGACACTAGCTTTGATCCCTTGATTAGAGTTTATTTCTTTTTGGCTAGGAATTCATGCCTTCTAAAGGAAGTTCACTATCTCCACTTTTTAAATACTGTGCCAAAGATCCCAGCCAAGCCAGGAGTGGTGGCACACGCCTGTAATCCCGCAGCCTGGGAGGCCGAGATAAGAGATAAGAGGATCGCAGCCTGGGAAATCTAGCAATTTAGAGATCCTGTTTCAAAATAAAAAATTTTCAAAAAGACTGGGGATATAGCTCAGTGTGAAGGCCCTGGGTTCAGTTCCCAGTACTAGAAAAAATAAAATATGTATGTATTACAATGTTCATAGGAACACTATTTATAATAGTTCCAAAATGGAAATTATCCAAATGTTCATCAATAGCAGAACTGACACATTTTGAAATATTTACACAATGAAGTTCCACATAGCAATGAGAATAAACAAACTATATCTATGAGGTATGATCCAAAAATACTGTGAATGTTTAAATCTTTTAAAAATTACTTTAAAAAGCACATTTTAATTTATCCCTTAGAAATCTTCCCCCCTCACTTTGAAAACAGCTACCCTACCATTCTTACCACTTCCTAAAGCAGTTCTGGAAGTCCTTTCTTGAGTGTCTTTGGTTGCACTGTGATGGCTGCCTCAGTGTCCTGAATCAATTCAAAACATTTACCTTTCATGGTCATTTTAACTTTGGAGAAGAACAAGAAGTCACATAGTACCAGATCCGATGAATAAGGTGAATGAGGACACACCGTAATTTTTTCTTTCCCGTACCGGGGATCGAACTTGGGACCTTGTGCTTGCAAGGCAGGTAGCAGAACCACTAAGCCAAATGCTAGGCCCCTCTGTAATGTTTTTATGAGCCTGATTTCCATTGTATGGCACTCAGCAGTCACATTTTTAAATCACATCTCCCAAAGACACTCAGGAAAGTAGACTTCCAGAACTGCTCTATAAATAGTGAGAATAATAGAATAGGTGTGTCCAAAGGGAGGTAGAGTATTTCCAGGGAGGGGCTTAATGGCATATGTCTTGCTGTAATAAAGGTTTAAAAGTTAAACATTGGTCATATTTTTGATCATCTCTTATATATAAAAGTTAGAAACTTCTATTCATCGAATGCCATTATTGAGAGTGAAAAAGATATTCCAGCCATGGTAGCAAATGCCTGTAATCTCAGCATTCAGGAGGCAGGAGGACTGCCACTAGTTTGAGTCCAGCCTGACTACATAGTGAGTTCAACGCTAGTCTGAACTACATAGCAAGACCCTGGCTCAAAACAAACGAATTGCTGGGGGTAGTAGTGCACACCTGTAATACCAGCTGAGGAGGCTAAAGCCAGAGGATCGCCATGAGTTCAAGGCCAGCCTGAGCTACATAGTGAGTTCAAGGCCACAGTAGGCTACATAGCAAGACCCTGTCTCAAAAAACAAAAAAAAAAAAAAGAAAGAAAAAGAAAGATAGATAGATAATAGGAAACAGGTAGATAGATCTTGTACTGCAAACATATACTAATAGATCTTTTTAAATAAACTTTAATTCAAAACAAAAAAGACTGAAAAAGGAAGCCACTGAGTATATATGAAGAAATCTCACACACTGATAAGAAAAGGCAGACAATCCAACAGAAATAAAATGAGTACAACACCCGAATGGGCACCTCACAGAGGAATATATCAAAATAGACAATGTACATACAAAATGATTCTCAGCCTTTATTAGTTATTAGAGAAAAGCTAATCAAAGCAATAGGGTAATACCTCTTCACACCCAACCATCACTATACTTCTACACACTCCATCAGAATCACTGAAATTATAAACTCACAAGACCTATGAGGCTGAGGATGGAAGCCACGAAAACTCTTTTATAGTATCTCACTGGAGTGTCATTTACCATAACTGGGAGGCTACCCATTGATGCTACCATACTCCACGCCCCAGCAATTCCACTTCAGGAGAAACTAAATTCATAGCAGCATTATTCACAACAGCCCCAAACTGGAAACAAGGCTTGAGGCTGGAGGACTGAGAGTTCCAAGCCAGCCTGGAGAACACAGCGAGAACCCATTTCAAGCTAAAATAACACGGGCTGGGGGTGTGGCTAGCGGTAGAGCGCTTGCCTAGAATGAGTGAGACCTTGGGTTTGATCTTCCCAAATATACAGAGGACTTTTCTACAGTGAAAACAAGCCAACTATCGCTGTGTGCAACTTGGAGATATTCCCGACGAAATATAGATCCAAAGAAACAGAAAAACAAAACCCTGAAGTATTCTATTTATATCAAAAGCAAGCAACATTGACTGTGGTGTTGGGATCGCGGTTGCCTTCGGGGGCAGAGGGAAGTTTCAGAACAGTGCTGTTTGGGGCCCTACAGTCTCCTCCTGGGGCAGGTTCCTGATGCCCGCCCTTGCTTCAGCACGGATGTTTCAAAGTCTAACTCCAATCCTACGGTGTCTGGCGGCGGGGTGGTCCCGGAAGCCTGCGCGGGGCGAGGGACCAGCCGGGTTCTCACCGTTCAGACCCGGGCAGGCTCGAGTCCTGGGCCTTTCACGGAATCCTCGCCCCTCCTGGTGGACAGAGGACATCACAGCTTCTTCTTCCACCTCGAGGTTCTCTGATATATGAGAAATCTACACTCAGGTGTTTCCACCTTTTGCTTAACTTTTGGACACAAATGTCTGGAATTATAGGATTCTTCCAGACTCTGTCGCGTCAAAGCACCCAATAGCAGACAAGTTGGCGAAGGGCGCCAGGATATTAACATTGAACAAAGGCGAGAAGGAGGATTCGATTGCTTCCGCCTGGCGGTCGAGTTGCGCACGCGCGCGAGAGAGCCGCGATTGGTGCTGCCTGGCGGCGGGCGCGCGGGGCACTCTGGGACGTCTCGCGGGCTGGAGGCAGCGGGCGGTGGCAGTGGCGGTAGCGGCGGCAGCGGCGGCAGCGGCGGCAGCGGGATCTCGCAGGATGGTGAAGCTGACGGCTGAGCTGATTGAGCAGGCGGCGCAGTATACCAATGCCGTGCGGGACCGCGAGCTAGACCTCCGAGGTGAGTCAGGTAGCGGACGGGCTGACCCCGGGCCTCAGCGCGCCGCCTCGAGGTCCGCGCCCCGCCGCGTGCGCCGAGGCTGGACCGCGGGCCGCGGGCTTTTGCAAGCGGCGTCTTTCAAGTCCGGTGCTGCCCTAAGCTTCATTGAACCAGGGACTTGTGATTCCTACTGTGTCATTTGTCTTCAGTGTCTTGCACTGTTTGACATGCATAGGTGACAGGTAAATGCTTCCTGCATAAATGAAAGCTTTGAGGCAGATTACCATGAGATAATGTAACTGTTGAAATTACGTTAATTATTAATGTTCTACAGGATATAAAATACCCGTCATTGAAAACCTCGGCGCTACCTTAGACCAGTTTGATGCTATTGATTTTTCTGACAATGAGATCAGGAAACTGGATGGTTTTCCTTTGTTGAGACGACTGAAAACGTTATTAGTGAACAACAACAGAATATGGTAAGTGCCTGCTGTCGGAAAATGATATTTTTAAACCTTGAGTAAATATTGCAGTGTGCCTGGAAAAAGTTGTTGCGCATACTGCCACTTGAACCTACGCGTTTCTTTTAAAGTGAGAAATGAATAGTACTTTTTTCCATACAAATCCAGAGTAATTTGATCTTACTCTAGTTTTATTTGCAGGTACTTAGAAATCTTCTATATTTGCACGTTATGTTTCTAATTTTTAATTTTGGCTTCTGAAGCAATTATCAGATGGGTCATATTAAAAGGATATGTAAAATATAATTATATCTTCACTGAATATCTGTACCTCATGCCTATTTTTCTTTAAAACTGATTTTCAGAGCATAACTTATTGAAAATAAGATCTTTACTGACCCTCTCATCAGCTCTGTGTAAATTTTATTGGAAAAATGATTGAAATGTATAGATAATGTCTAGACAGAAATATTTGTCTCTTTTTGTTTTTTTTTTTTACTTTTGTGAGACAGGGTCTCGCAATGTAGTTTATCCTGGGCTTGAACTCACTATGCAGCCCAGGCTGCCCTTGAATTCAAAGCAATCCTCCTGCCTCAAAAAATGTTTTTCATAGGTTAACTATTCCCCTCTGGTATAGTTATGTCTTGCACATGAGCTGTACATGCAGAATCACTTGTATTTCTGTGCTTTCTGAACAAAATCATAAAGCCAATAGTCTCGCCTTTTCTTAGTTTCCACCCGGCATTGTGGCAGTGGAAAAAGGTCAAGCAGCATCCAGGAAGCATGGGATCTAAAATCATCTACTCCTGTCAGTGACTTTGTGGCCGCAGGCAAGGCTTCTTCCTTGTGCCTCGTGTCCCATCTTTGACATAGGACATGGAAGAGGGATCACTAAGGTCTTTCCAACTTTGAGGTCTTATTACCTGAGCAGCCATTTGCTCCTGGTCCCAGACAAACCACAGGATCCTTGGTGACAAGAAAAGGCTTTATTTACAGCTAGCAGTGAAGAAGTAGAAGCCTCATAGTGCCACAAATCCTTATCTCAGTGTCCAGGTGTGCAAGGGCCTTTTATAGTAAGCAAGGGAGAGGAGAGGGAATACGATATGACAATAGACAGCTCCGCACTTATTAATTCCCCCCTGGCTCTTTTCTGCTCCCTGCCTCCCCTGGACCAGACCCCCTGGAACCATCATCTGCATATTCTGTCCATTCAAGTTGAAGAGGAGGAGAGGTGGCTACAGGTCCTCAGCCTGAGGAAGTTTGGAGAAGCAGCTTGTCTCTAGAAGAAAAAATTCTCACGTTTAAAATTCCATTTTGCCCTGCTGTTAACAGCCTGTGAGCAATGACTGAGGTAAAAGTGTTAGCTTATTTTCCGCTTTCATTAACAGCCTTTCTGTTTTTATTTTAGCCGTATAGGTGAGGGACTTGATCAGGCTCTCCCATGTCTCACAGAACTCATTCTCACCAACAACAGTCTTGTGGACCTGGTAAGTTAATTAAAAGGATATTGACTCAGGGGGTGGGGTTAAAGGTAGGGCATGCAAAGATCCAGGAAATTATCTCATCCCTTCTTTCTATCTTTTTCTTAATTATTACAGAATCTGACCCTGTGGGTTATTTTGTTTTTGTGAGGGGTTTGTGTATGTATATTCTGGGGATTGAACTTGGGGCCTCTCACATGCTACACAAACCTTAAGTAGTTTCTTATTATCAGCCTTTATTAGTGCTTTTGATGTTTTGTTGCAGCTTCCTTTTCCCTCCCCTGACTAAAGAAACTCTCCTGTTGCTTTCTAGAATTGCAGTGTTCTGTATGGTACTACTAGCCACAAGTGGCTCCTCTGACTTGAGATGTGCAGAACCATAAAATTCACGGTGGATTGATGTAGAATTTTTTAAAAATACTGTTAGTCACTTTTTAATATTGATGTTGAAATGATAATGTTTGGAGTAATAGGTTAAATAATATATTAAAATTAGTTTTTTATTTTAATGTGGCTACTAGAAAATTTTAAATTGTGTAATTTTTAAATTACATGCATGAAATTTCTTTTGTAGAAATTTTATTGTTTTACTTTTCACGTTAGATGAGCAGTCCACTTGGAACTGATTTCTGTATGAGAGAAGGGCCAAGTTTCAGTTTCACTGTATAGATAATGATTATTTTGACCTGTTTTATGCTCTTAAAGTTTCTGTTCTGTATGTCTAATTTCTAACAAAATTGAGTTCATACTGTATATTGTTTTCCAATCTATTCTGTTTAAAATATTAAATATTCTGTCTTTATATTGCACAACTTGTTAGGTTATTAAGACTTTACCTCCCTTCTCTATTTTCCTGATTGTTTAGATTGAACTGTATTTCCCTTCTTGGTGGACAGGGTTCATAGCATCTTTTAGATTCTCAAAGTAGTGCTTGACTTCAGAAGTAAGAAAGCACTAATCTGAGGCCATGTCCTTTCTCATACCTTCTGTGTGAAGTATTTAAAATACAGTACCCAAAATACATGTTGATAGGGAATGTGTAACATGATCAGTGCTAGTAGAGAAATTGTAGTTGTATTTAAAACTCTTCACAAAGATGAAGACTGCTGTTCCAATCAGTTAATGAAAGATAAGTTAAAATCTGACATCATAACCAGGCTTGGTTGGTTGTGCATGTGTATTATCCCAGCACTTTGGGAGCCTGAATTCAGGCCTGGCCTGGGCAATTTAGCAATTTCACAAACTGTGTCATCCTTGCTCAAGGCCATAATAATCTCTGCATCCTTCCTATTTCAGTATATGTGCTGTGGAAGTGAGCCACTCTGCTTTACCTGTTTTTTTGTTTTGTTTTGTTTTTTGTTTTCTCATTGTCTGTCATCCCTGTCTACTCATTTGAGATCTGTTCTTAGCAGTTTTTCCTCAGTGTAGTGTTTTGTCCTAGCAGGGACACGATTTCTGGTTAGTGTTGAATGAGGGTCCATATTGCTGTAACACCATCAGCCCTTCTCACAGACTTATTGTGCTCTTTATTAGAATGTGCAGGTGCTTGGGTTGCTGTTCTCAAATGGAGTACCTGTAGGTTGATTGGAGTTTTCCAGTTTATCAGATACCTCCTTGCCTTCTCTGATTTTTCCTGCACAAACACTGTCACCATGCAGTCTCTGTTCTCACAGTGGTGTCCCCACTTATTCCTATTATAGGATTCTTGGGAAGTATCTTGTCATCTAGTTTGGTTATACATATTGACCATAGGTTTTAGGTTTAATATCCTTGTTTCACTATGGAATATGGGACAATTTGGGAAGATTAAAACCTGTCCAGCCTTCTTCCCATAATTTAGTTCATGTTTTGCAGGGGTTTTTTTAATTAATTAAGTTTATTGGTACATTTTGGATATACAAAATGATCACATTCATCATAGGGAATTTGTACTTGTACATGACATATCTTGATTCTTAATTATTTTTTAACTATTTCACCTTATCTTTGAAAAATTATTTGAAGAGATTTGGTGGGGTCTAGAATAACGGTACCCTGTCTCAAAGACAGTTTGTTGCCAGGCACTTGTGAGGATGTAGCAAGAAAGACCACATTACACCCAAGATCCTCGCTTGATGTTCCCTATATAGAAAAAGTCATATCAGCTCTGGCGTTGTTTTCCTTCCTGAATTATTACTCAGTAGCCCATTTTGAGATGCCATTGGAAATCAGTATTTTGTATCTTCTGATGTTGAGACAGAAGTTGTTAATGTCAAGATTTTTAAGAAGATGGAATGTATTCATCGGTTTATTCAGTCAAAATTGTTAAAGCATTTGTGAGTACTAATATTGGGCTAGGTGCCAGCGCAGTAAAAAATAAACAGACAATGTGGATACTTGCTCCAAAGACACTCTGTATTTCAAAATATCAAAATAGACAGCATGTGGTGTCAGCATTCTTACCTGTGGCCATCATTTCATAGGGTGATTTGGACCCTTTGGCATCTCTCAAATCACTGACTTACCTAAGGTAAGAAAACTATTTGTTACGATGACAAAACTAATGGAGTCTTTAAAACAGCACTGTTACCAGCCTTAAAGTATTCATTGAAAAGTAAAAACAAATTCTGGGGGCCGGGGAGTTAGCTCAGTGGTTCTACCACCTGCCTGGAAAGCGCAAGGTCCCAAGTTCGATCTCTGGCACCAAAAAAAACAAATACTGAAGCCAGGCATGGTAGTGCATGCCTATGATCCTACCACTGGGGATGCAGAAGCAGGAGGATCACCATGAGTTCCAGGCCAGCCTGGGCTATGTAATGAGATTTTTTTGTTGTTGTTTTTTTTGTTTGTTTGTTTTTGGTACCAGGGATTGAACTCAGGACCCTGTGCTTGCAAGGCAGGCGGCAGAACCACTGAGCCAAACCCCCAGGCCCAAAATTAGAAGGTGTTTGTTTTGTTTTGTTGGTACTGGAGATTGAACTGAGACCTTGCGCTTACAAGGCAGGCAGTGGAACCACTGAGCTAAATCCCCGGCCCTGAGATTTTTTTAATAAAATTTAAAAAATTGAAGCTGTTTTCTTCATGTTATTTAAATTGATATTGAGATGTGAATAATAGTGTACTTTCCATTGATTTATATACTTATTGCCATTCAGATTTTCTTCAATGCTATGTCATGAACAAGAGTGACACTGTGTTGTTCCTTTTCTTGTAGCATTCTAAGAAATCCTGTAACAAATAAGAAGCATTACAGACTGTATGTGATTTATAAAGTTCCACAAGTCAGAGTACTGGATTTTCAGAAAGTAAAACTAAAAGTAAGTATTCTTTGGTTCTAAGTCATTATAGAGTTGTATGTTTTTCTTTATACTTTTGTTATTGGTTTTTTAAATTGACTAGTAGAATGAATTTTACTATTAGTTTGTAATTAAAAATGTGGGAAAGAAAATGCTTTTTGTTCTCATGGCAGAGTTTTTTGTAGGGCTTTGAATTAGCATTCTTTTCTGTAATGTTGGTCATGCAGAGTTGGCAGGATGTTGGAGAGCCACACAATGGATTGTCTGTTTACATACCTTCCCAATGAGGAGCGTAATGTAATCCACTTTTGAGCAGCTCTGGCTGTTAGGGTGACTTTTACCTTTATTAGGAGGTTTTACCCCCTCTCCCTGCTTAGTTTTTTGGCAGCTCCTCCTCCTCGAAACCAGGCAAGGAGCTTTCTTTAAAAGCTTCCCCAGCAAAGGCAAAACAACTGTGTATCCTTTTAATTTTAAATTGACTTTTTGGTATTTTTACCAGCCCAGAGTACTTCAGGAGCGTTCTCTTCCATGTGTTCTGAGGGATGCATCTAAATGCGTGTGGTATTCCTATTTCCATTAACTCTGTGTGTGGTGTCGCTGTAGGAGCGTCAGGAAGCAGAGAAAATGTTCAAGGGCAAACGGGGTGCACAGCTTGCAAAGGATATTGCCAGGAGAAGCAAAACGTAAGATACAGATATCCAACTTAACTCCACTTCGCTTCAGAAACACTGTCTGGCAGTTTGCCTCCTACAGAATTAAACCCAAAACTGATTAATGTGGTATTAAATTAGAGTGCTGATAATCTGTGGCCGTCCATGGTCCACAGGTCACATGAAATTTCTGCTAAGTTCACAGAACAGATATCTTGGTCTTAATATGATGTTTTATATGTTCTGTTCTCTGTAGGAAGATGAAGTGGATGGTGTTTCTGAAGGAGAGAGTTCTTGTATCAGTTTGTTAACAAAGATAAGATACTACACTGGTTTAATTACTTTCAAAAGCTTTTGAAAGTAAAAGAGAAGCAACGTTTATGGGTGAGAATTTAACAGTTATATTCTTTTCCTTCCCAAGTTTTAATCCAGGTGCTGGGTTGCCAGCTGACAAAAAGAAAGGTGGACCATCTCCAGGGGATGTAGAAGCAATCAAGGTAATAAGGTGTTATAACTCTGGTCTGGTTAGAGCTGAGGTGGGGTTAGGACTTCAACTTGAATTGGTTGCATGCACCAGTTGTCTTTTTCATTTTCCTGGGTGCATTTATCACTTTCAACACTCAGTTACCTTGGTGTGCTGTCTCGAGGTGTGCCTTAGTTGTTATTTCACAGATGTGCTGTCTGACAAATCTTTTTGGATGATTGTGGAAAATCCTAATTTTGTAATATTGCCTGCTAAAGTATCCAATAATATAATTCCATATCGATAGTAAGCTTAAATTTTAGGACAAGGAGAATGATTACTTGTTCTCTTGTTTTATAAGAGGGCCTGTGTTTCTTCACCAGTTTTGGAAATTTAGGATTTGGTTTCTGGGTTGATTCAGTGTACCAATAAAATTCTTCCTCCAACACAGAACTATGTAACATTCTAACTCTAGAAGTTGCTATGAATTTCTGTATTTTCTGGGTGGTTGATACTTAATTGAAATTAATTGTGTATCTTCCTTCTGCTCTCTCCTCCAGAATGCTATAGCAAATGCATCCACTCTGGCTGAAGTGGAGAGGCTGAAGGGCTTGCTGCAGTCTGGTCAGATACCTGGCAGAGAACGCAGATCAGGTCAGAAAACAGTGTGCTGTCTTTGTGCCCCTAAAATAATGTTACATTCAAAGTAATTACAAGACAGTTCGTGCACTACAATCCAAGGATGCCAGAAGAAGCCAGGCAGGCACATGCCTGTAATCCTAGCTGCCTCAAGGCTGAGGCAGGAGGATCAAAAGAATAAGCCTAGCCTGGGCAAGTGAGAAAGACCTAGTCTCAAAAAAAATAAAAATAAAGGGCTAGGAATGTAGATTAGTACAAAGGGCCTGGGTTTAATCCTCAGGACTGCAAAAATAAATAAATAGATAACTAAAATGCTAAAAGAAAGTATTTCATAGGACTTCAGGGGTGTTAGGGGAGGGGAAGTATGTGAAAGTTGAAGTAAATTTATTTGCTAGCATTGAGTGAACCAAACTTTAGAGATAACCATGTGGACTTTTATTTTTATATACAACTATGTACCTCATGACAACATTTTAGTTGATGACAGTCTATATATAACAGTGGTCCTATATGATTATAATAAGGCTGAAAAGTTCTTATTACCTAGTTTTTTACTGCACCTCTGCCTTTGTGTTCCAGTTGCCTGCAATATTCAGTATAGTAACACCCATACAGGTCCTGTGGCCAAACAGCCCAACACACAAATTTCAGCCCACACAAATCTCAGCCGCCTCAGATCTGTCCTTGGCCAAGTACTTCCAAGACTACTTATTCATCTGTAAATCTGAGATGATAATACCACCTCAAAATGTTGTTGGAAGGACTGAGATATTGTACATAGCACAGGGTCTTGTTTTTAAATTGCTAACTATTCTAAGCCAGGTGTGGTGGCACACACCTGTAATCCTAGCACTTGGGAGACTGAGGCAGGAGGATTGCTACCAAGTTCCAGGCCAACCTGGGTTGCATAGTGAGTTCAAGGCTAGCCTGAACCACAAGCAAGACCCTGTCTCAAAAAAAAACAAGTTGTTAACTATTCTGGTATTTGAATGACTACTTTGTGTCAGACAGCATGTTGAGCAGTAGACATATAAGAGAAAAATACTCGTGTAATATCCATATCACAAGTTTTCATGTGTATTTAAGTGGAGACCTCTACCTAGACTGGTGGCTCAGGGAAAGTTTCCTGGGCACATATGTTTGAGCTGAGAGCTAAAATAAGTAAGTCAGCTTTAAGATATGATTCTCAATGGCCCCTGGACTTCTGGGAGTCTGTGAGATCATAACTATTCTTCTAATAACACCAAGACATTATTTTTCTTACTATGGCAGTATGTGCACTGATGGAGGAAGAACAATGGTGGGTAAAACTGCTGGTGCCTCAGCAAGGTAGCGGTACAAGCGATGGCAGTTAATAGTCTTCCTTGCTATCCACTCCCAGTAAAATGCATACCAGTTGCACTTAAGAATGTCCTAGATGAATGTCCTAAAGGATTATTGGGGGCTGAGGACGTAGCTTGGTGGTAAAGCACTTGCCTAGCATGTATGATGTCTGAGATCAAATTTCAGCAAAGCAAAATAACTACTAGATACCACCACTTCTGTACACATCATTTGATATTTTGGGTGGCAAACGGGTACACATGAATCTCTTCTAAAGGCCTGAGTTGTTCGGTTATGTTGATGTGCTGGTACAGCTGTTTTGAGGTGAGAGGCGGATGTGCCCTCAGACATGAATAAGGTGAGCCTGTTGCCTGATGGAAGACGACTTGACTATGTAGTCAGTGGTAAAATTCAAGGTTCCAAGCAAAACTTAAAACTTGGAAAACTTTTATCAGCTACTTCTTACTTAGTACATAAAAAACTTTTGTGAGAAAGTCGGGGACATTAATGAATGGGACATTAGCATTGTGTCATGAAATGGCTCAACTTTGGAAGATCTGAAAGACCCATTGAGCCACTCTTTTCTATTTGGTGTTAGAAAATCATGCATGGATAAAAGATCCATTCAAAGTATGAGATAGACCACTGGATTTTCAAGTAAGAGAGTATGAAAAATTATCTGAAGCTTTTAGATGGGTATAGTGGCACATGCTAAAATCCAGCTTCTCGAGAATCAGAGGCAGAAGAATCAAAAGTTCGAGGCCAGCCTAGGTAGCCTACCAAGACCTTGTCTCAAAAAGTGGGAGAATATAGTTTAGTGTGGTACAGATCTCCCCAGGTTTAATCCCCAGTACCACCAAAAAAAAAGGTAAAGTGTTCACCTTTTCACTCTGCTTTCTTTTGGAAAATGCCACTTTTTGTTAAAATGAAAATGTTAATATTTAATGGATTTATTGTTTTCATAAGTTACTGTCTTCAAGAATTTTGTTTTAGTTTCTAATACAGGATCAATAAATTTAATGAACATAAACAAAAGCTTTTTAAGCCTTCATGCCTAATAGTTTGAAAGCTACTAAAGTGGATGCAGCCACCAGGTGCTTTAGGCAGAGGAGATTGCACAGCAAAACACCTGCATAGAAAGGCACTCTTGAACTGAAAGAGGGCCAGAGTGAAGCCGGCATCATGGGTTCGGTGTGGCCAAATGAGATTGCAGTGCCCACGTGGCTTTGTGATGGATTAGGCAACCCTAGAAATCAGTCCAGGCTTTCAGGGTTCGGTAGTAAGATTGGTTGGGAAATGCGCAACATCAATGCTGCTGTTGTGACTACAGTAGGCTAGAATTACAGTAAGTCCACAACTTACGAGCATTCAAGTTGTGAACTTTCACCAGTGTACTATATAGGACTCACTTTGCCGGATACGAACGAATCTGACTTGGGAACATTCTCCCAGAACAGAACTTATTCGTAAGTTGGAGACTTATTTTACTGGGTTACTGTCCTCCCTTCAGGATGCTTTATTTGGGCCTTCAGGGTCTCTGGATTTGGGAATAAGAAATTAGCACATCTAATAGTACTCTGTTTGCTAGATCTCATTAGGCCTAGGCTTCTGAATAGTATTAACAAAGGCATTCCTTCTTGGTAGCTTTGTGTCTAGAAATGTGAAGTTTGGATCTAACTATAGAAACAAAACACTTAAACATGAGTAATCTTCCCAAATAATTGATAGGGTAAAAACATGTCCTTTTTCAAAATACATTGACTAAAAAACCTGCCTGAAATTATTGAACAAATGTAAGAACCTTTTGGTTAATGTTGCAATGTTACCCTAATTTAGAGATGATAAAGTCACTGACTTTATCAGTGCCTGGCATGTATTAGGTGCATGACTGTTTTGTTTTGTTTTTGTTTTAGTATTTCCAATTTTTATCTTCACAGAAAATAAATAGGCATCAACTATGATGAGAGGCAATTGCTTTTACTTTGTTAAAACACCTTTCTGACTTTTTCCTTGGAAATTGACCACCCTTTCCAGTACCTCCAAAGACAAACTGTCCCTGGATTATAAGCTCCTTGAGGACAGAGGCTGCTTTGGTTTTTTTTGTACCTATCCACTGTCCAGCACATAATACCCACAGAAGGGGCACCTACCTGCCTGCTACACAGACTCTAGAACTGATATGATTTCTGGTTTTTTGTTTTCTTCAGGTCCCGCTGATGATGGCGAAGAGGAGATGGAAGAAGACACAGTCACAAATGGGTCCTGAGCAGTGAGGCAGATGGAACAGACTCTTGGGATAAGTCTTGGTTTTGGACATGGAATATTGGCCTTGTTTGTGTCAGCAAAGTGGAATCTATCAGCATTGTTGAAATGCTTAAAACTGCTGCTGATAATTTTGTAATTTTGAAATCTAAATGTCAGTTTTCTACAAATGTTAAAAATAAAGGCCACTCACTGTGCTGCCAAGTTGCATGTCATTGTCATCGTGTGTTTTTGCCATAAGGTTTCTAAGGAGATGTTTATGCCGGGTGTGCAGAAGGATGTCATCTATGAAATTTTTGTTTCAAATTCTTTATAAAGGCAGCCAAGCTTTAGGACTTAACACAAATGAGCATCCTTTGACCTTTTTAAACCTACCTGCAACCATCATTCAGATCAATTCCTTATTTAAAAATTAGGGGTATGCGGCATCTCATCAGGAGGTGGAATCTGAGCAGAGGAATAGCACCTCCCACCCTGTAGGAAGAATACTGGGGTAGGGGAAGGCTTCCCTGGGGGTGCTCAGCTCCTTCATGCTTACTCCATCCCTCATCCGTTGACATTTGCTAGACTTTTAAAATGCCAGTGCTTGGGCTCCCAGCTGCGATTCTAATTGTGAGAAACACTTCTAAATAGTCTCGGAATGGTGCTTGGTGATTGCTGATCAGCTGAAGGCTGAAGAATTGTACCTTCCTCTCCTGACAATCTGGCTGGGAAGACAGAACCACAAGGAGCAGTGGCTTCTGCTAAGTCTTGGTCTTTAGTTTACAGCCTGGCCTGGATTAGAGCCTCGTTCTCACAGTGTCTTCAGTGACAGGCCAGGGAAGCTGCCTTCCACTCACTCAGCCCTTCTGATAATGCAGGGTTACCTATCGCTTCTATTTTTTTAATTAATTTCATTGGTATAGTTTAAATATACATAATGATCACATTCATCAAAGGGGATCTGCACCTGTACATGGTATATCTTGATTCCCTTTTTCTCCCATTCCCCTCCCCTCCCTTCAACCTCCCCCTCCCATTTATGGATTTTTTCCCCGTTTCTGAGGATAGGATGACCAAAGTGCCCCTGCTTTTGGCTGGGGGTGTAGCTCAGTGTAAGCCCTGAGTTTAATCCCTTGCACTGGGGGTAAAAAAGATTGCCTTTTCCTTTTCCCCAGTTAAGATCCAGGGAAGCTACTTTCATCATTATTCAGGAGGCCTTGTTCTATCATTTAAGAGCCACCCTAGTGGGTGGGACTCTGGCTGGTCAGAAGTCTCACCTCAGTGATGACAGGTGACAGTAAGTATTGATCTCCTAAAGTAACTTCTCTGATCACGTTCCTTATCTAGGAGCAGCTTACTTTGGGTCCCTGGCCTGAACCACACTGTAGTACCTAGCAAGGAATGAGTCTTCTGAGCACTTCCCTGAATTAATCTGGGCTAGTAAGATTACTTTGGCACCAGTTTGGTATTTAAGACTGGGTGAAGCCATGTGTGGTGATGCCCACCTGTAACCCCAGCTCTGTGAGGCAAGTTCAAGTGAGATCTTGTCTCAAAAATGGGGCTGGGGATGTAACTCAGGGTGAAAGCCCTGAATTCAATCCCCAGTACCACCAAGAAAAAGAAAAAAACCTCAGGTGAAAAAACACCAAATGGAACCTTACATTATATACAGTATTGTCTCAAGGATTTTACAAAGTTAACCAGAGGAAAGGGCTGCAGTGCTCAGAGCTGAAGCTCCAGCTACATGTCTCCGAACCAAAACAATTGGATTTGTCCTAACCTGATATTTTCCAGAAGCCCAACATTTTCAACTTGCAATTTTGTAGAACATGAATCATTCAGGCTCTTCTGTCACGTTACAGAAGAAATTATGTGCCACTGACAGTTATACCCACAAGAATACACTAAGTGATTTCAATATTACTTTTGTAGTGTTTGTACATAATTGATTAATGCCCTGGCTTTGAGGTTCTAAGAACTATAAATTTAGGAATGATATTACCTAATCTATGGACAGGATTAATAGCATTTAAAGGTTGCTTTGGGAATCTACAAGAATGTCAGTTGAAGGGGCAGGGCCTTGGGTTACTATACTCTTGTTTAGGAAACACTGTTTTGTTCTGTTACTAACACTGATCTTCAGCTACTCATACCCTTAATCTTGTTGCATATACTTTTGTTTTTTTGTTTTATCGGTACCTGAGACTGAATTTAGGATCTTGCGCTTGCGAGGCAGGCGCAGTGCCACTGAGCTAAATCCCTGGCCCTTTGCTTATACTTTTGTGAAAAGGTGAAGATAGCAGCTTACCAGTAGTACTGTAAATTGCAATACACTTTTTAAATTCTTTTTATTTTTTTGCCATGCTAGGGATCAAACTCAGGTCCTTATGCACACTAAGCCAGCGCTACTGAACTACAACCCCAAGCTGACAACCACTGTTTATTCTACCCACTTGCCATTAAGCCAAGCAAGCCACCTGGCCAGATAGAAAGTGAGAGTGTGAATAATTGGGGCCAGTTAGTCTACATGGTCAGTGACAGGCAGACATTCAGGTTATTGTCCACCTTTGTCTTATTTTTGCAAATAACACCTGAGCAATTTTATTGAGCAAATTGCTAAAATAACTTGTCAGTTCTAGATAAACAAAGTGTCATCTGACTAAGGGGACAAAGGTAACAAGCCTGGTGAGGAAGAATGAAAAACTTCTATCAATGGAACCGTAAGAGCACTGTGCTAGAAGTGAAATGAAAATTCATCGTTCAGTTCACTCTCGGTTCATCATGGTACACATGTACACCTAGTCCCAGGAGTAAGCAAAGATGCTTTGTTCTGTATTTGTTTAAAATGTATTATTTTCATGAATTGGTGCTACTTCCCCTTTTATATCACGGAGTCCTGAGTAGAAAGGATTGTGCACGTGTGTGTGTGTTCAAACCTAGGGCCCTATTGGATGGGAGGCAAGCACTTTACCTCTCAGCTGTATCTGAAGCCCTTTTTTTTTTTTAAAAGAAAAACAATCACAATTCACTGTCTTAATGATTACAAGACATTACAGAGCAGGATGGAAACAGGCAAAGGGAACTCTCCTATTTTATGTTGAGTTAATTCATTGGTCTGGCGTGAAAGTCAGCAACAGCAAATCTGCAATTTAAGGTCACCTCCCATAGCTATTATTAGTATCTGAACTCCTGAGCTACACCGTGAGCTCTGAATGGTATTCACTGCAACATCCTTGCAGTGAATCTGAAGCCTCTTTTTAAGGCAGGGAGCTGTTGAACATTAGCTTTTCAACCCAGATGATAAATCCTGTTAAGGACTATGTAAAAATAAAATGCTCCCGCTGGGGTGGTGGCACAACCTGTGATGCCAGCACTTGGGAGGCTGAGGCAGGAGGATCACCAGGAGTTCGAGCCATGTCTGAACTACATAGCAATACCCTGTCGAAAACAAAACAACCAAAAACCTGCTCCCATAGCATTGAAAAATTGTGCTGTGATTGCTTTTCTGCTTCTTGAGAAACTGCTTCCATGAACAATGATCCTAGCACAGTATACTAATGTGCTGCACAGCTAAGAATAGTGGTGAGGTAACCCTGGTCCTCCTGACTAGTCTGTCATTATTTGCATGCGGTTTACATTTAAAGCTGATCTCACATTGAATTCCTCCAAGATGGCAGAGCAAGTGAAGTCACCTTAAAGCAAAGAATGATAGTTGGAGCTAAAGATGTAGTTAGCTCGGTGGTAGAGCATGAGTCCCTGAGGTGAATCTCCAGGACAAAAAAAAAAAAAACCTAATAAAACGCGTGACTAGCCAGACACAATGGCTCACATTTGTAATTCCAGCTACTCCAGGCTGAGGCAGAAGGGCCACAAATAGGTAGCAGCCTGGGCAACTTTAGGAAGACCTTGTCTCTAAAAGTAAGAGGGCTGGGAATGTAGCCCAGTGGTAAAGTGCTTACCTACCATGCATGCGTCAAGCCCCAGGTTCAGTCCCCAGTACATACTGAAAAAGAGTGGTGGTGGTGGTGGTGGTGGCGGTGTATTCATTGTTTTTGCAAGTAAGAAAATTATCAAGGAAATAAAACTTCTTTCTAAACTCATCAAATTGATGGTTATCTTCACAGCATTATTTGACAACTCCTCGATTTCCTGATTGGATTGAATCCATTTTCAAAATGGCTGTTAAAGTAAAGAAGAGGTTTCAAGATTTTCTTTGCCATGTTCCATGAACTCCAGTCCTTCAACAGGAATCTCTGTATCAGCTACTACTATAACAGAATACCCAAGGCAGGCTAACTTTATGAAAAGAAGCAATTTAGTTCCATTTTGGAGACTGAGAGTCCAAACAGGGTGATGCAGGCTCTGACAAGAGCCCATTTTGGCTGTAATATGCCCTGCCAAGATTTTATCTTTATGCGTGGTATCTCTTTGAGGTCTCCATCCTAATTATCTAATCTAATCTATTTCCCAAAGGCTACCTCTAAGCACCTAGTCAGATTAAGTTTTCAATTTCCTAATATCGTTAACCTAGAACGTTGGGGATTAACCTCAGTTCCAAGTAACAAACCACAGCAATCTTCTCTTACTGTTTTCTGAAGACAGTACTGGGAGCCCTAGGTGAGGACCGTGTACAGTCCTTGGGGGTTGGTGGAGACTTTCTTGGCCTAAAAGTAGAGTAGGAAGCTGCTCATATTTCGTGTTTACACCTGTGTGGGGGCGGATTTTAGCTGCTACCTTCCCTGGCTTGCAATCCCCAGTAGGCTGAGCCCCATTGGCCACTGGGTATGCGGCAAGAGTGTGGATGTAAACTCTATGTCAGGGCGGCCCCGGCCCTAGCATCCTTGATCTCTGCGTCCTACGACCACAAAAATTCAGTACTTACATGGTGAAAGGGGCGAGTTACTCCCCCTCACCGAGGTCAGCACCTGCTCAGGCCAGAGCCAGTACTCTCGATCTTCCGCCTTGGCCTCTCCCGCCCCACCCTTAGCCACACCCACCCTATGATTGGTCGCGTGTCTGGGCGGGGTCGAGCCGCAATTGGCCAGAATGATGGCCACGTCCGGGAGCGCCACGTGTACGTAGAGAAGGCCCGGAAGTGCACGACTTAGGCGACGCTGCAGTGCGGGCGGCCGTGGCTGCCATGGATCGAGATGGTGAGCTGCTGTCCGCGCGGCCGGCCCTGGAGACGGAGGGGCTCCGCTTCTTGCACGTCACGGGTGAGTCGCCGC